TTTACATCTCAGCAGGAAAGTAAAACAACCCAGGCTCATAGTAGGGCCAAGAGAGGGTCAGGCACACTCAGCAGGCCAGAGGTCACAGCTTGATCCTTGAGATTCCTCTTGAAGTTTCTAAGGGCCCATGTCAAAGAGTACCCCATCTCTACCCATGATCACCACAGAGTGAGGCAAGGCCTCTTCTAATTTAAATAGGAAGGAAACTCGCTGTCTTTAAATGGAAGCTTCATATGCAGACCCTTGGCCCTGGCCCTGCTCCTGACTTGTTTATTCTTGACGGCCTCTGTCTTTCCCTGTAGTCCCCCAAATCCAGAGAGGATTGGGCTAGAGGGGTCCTTCCATTTTACAAAACAAAACCTCATTCATTCATTCATTCATTCAACAGATACGTATTGTCTGCCACTCTGAGCCAGACCCTGAGCTGGCATTAAGCATGAAACAGACAAAACTCACACTACCAGAGGCACACAGACAGAGGAAGCTCCTGGCCAGAGATCACACAGCCTGGACCCAGGAGCCCAGGGTTCCTTCCTCCACATTCTGCCTCTCAAGGCTTCAGCCGTGCTGGCTTGTGTATGCCTGCTTCATTCCAGGTCAGGCCCTGGTTCCAGCCAGGCAGGGGCCTAGAAGCCTCACTCTGGTCCACAGGTGACTCTCAAAGTCCCATCATAAGAGGCCAAATGCAGCTTTCCATAAAAGCAGCCCTGAACGTTGGCCTCATGTTCCCTTGGCACAGTCTAAAGAAACCCCCAGCTGGGCCTTAGGCAGTGAATGCTGCAAGTTGATGAGACTTGGTAAAAGAAAATCTGCTCCAGAGTGCTTTTCAATTACTCTTCAGAGTAATTTTTGTGCGGTCGTACAGCCATCAGTAGAGGCTTAGAGAGGTAATGTGACTTGCCCAAGGTCACACGATTAGGAAATGACCCACCAGGATGCAAATCAGGCCTGCGTGAATCCCAAACCGTCTGGTACCCAGACCCCCGCCCCCGCCACACAAACACACACACACCCTTTGAGAAGTCTGTGCCTCCACCGGACGAGTGGCACAGGCGACTGAACAGTTTCAGAGAAACCACAGCTCCCAACGCTTCCTTGAGAGAGCCCAAGGAGAGAGGCAGCGGCGCCTGCCCGGTGCGCTCAGGGGGCGGGAGAGGATGGGGCACTTCGTGGACCCGGCCACAGCTCCCGCCGGCAGGTAGAAACTGGTCAAAGTACTCGTGCGCGCGGACGGTCCCGGGCGTCTGAAGCGGATGACGCCCAAACGCGCGGCTCCAGCTCACAACCCTGCCGGGCCACTACTGACGCAGACCTTGCATTCAGGCGACTCATCTCGCCCTCTCCAAAAAAAAGTCTCCCAAACTTTTGAGGTTATTAATAAAACAAACAAATGAATAAGCAAATATATAACAGCGGGGAACTTTCCGAAAAGGAGATGGAGGCGGATATCGGGTTCTTCCCCGGGCCAAAAAAGCCGAAGGCCCTTACCTGCAGGAAACCTCCCAGCCCTCAAAGGAGCGTCTGTCTGGAGCACTTCGCTTCGGCGCGCGGGACGCTCACGGCCACCTCATCTGCAGCCCGGCTGGGCTCTGGCCCTGTGTTTTATACCACTATAGGCAATTAATATTGCATCAGCCGTATTTTAAATTTTCAAAACCCACAATATAATGTAATGGCATAAGGGCATTTATTATTAAAGGACACCCGATGGAGAGGGAGGTGGAGGAATCGCTGGGGCTGGTGCGCAAGGCGGGGGCGACAGGGTGAGACCCAGGGGCTGGGGATGATCCCCAGGTTTGCTTTTGTAGTAGGGGGGCGTACCGCGCGGAGGGGAGACCCACTCTGCTTCGAATTTCAGTCCAGAGGTGATGACGCAGAGTTCTTTGCAGACACAGTGGGGAAATGTACAGACGACTCCAGGACTTGGAACATTAATTTTTAAATCATGAAGGTGTTTCTGCGTCTCACAGATAAGATTTCCTCCCCCTTTTAGAGTATGTGGAAGAGAGAGAAGGAAACCGGCATCTGTTGAGCACCTACTGTGTATAGGCACTAGGCCAGGATCTTTGTGGCAATTAGCTCATTATCCACCACCCACCCACCCACACACACAGAGAGAAGCCTCGATAGACCGTGGAATAACCTCCTGGGTGACAATTCCGAATGAATTTCTGAATTGACCTCGAGGAAGCCCAAACGACTCTGCCCCAGCAAAGAACACTTCCCTCCCTTTTTTGCATCTCTCCTCACCTCCCATCTAGCTGTTTGAACCTTTTAAAATAATCATGTTTCCCGAGAAGAGCCAAGCACTACCAGACACCTTAAATAAATAATCTTACTTAGTCCTGACAATAGCCTTGTAAGTATTCGCATCTTCATGCTGCAGACAACCGATGGAGACTCAGAGAAGTTACACTCACGTCAGGATCGTTCAGCCAATGCGTGGAGGCATTGGGGGCCCCTACTCCCATCAGTCAGGCCTAGAAGTTTTCTGTCTGAGTCAAGTTGAGCAAATAGAAGCTGAAAGATTAGCACGTGGGAAGCGTGGAGGAAGGGCCTGGAAACCCTGAGGTCTGGGGAGGATCTGGGGGAGAAGATGAGGCAGCCCCGAAGGAGGAGCAAGGAGGGAAGATTGCAGGAGACTGGCCTCCTGGAAATGACAGTCCAGCCCTTTTGGGTCCTCACTTTTAAATCCTTTCCGAGACTAGTACTCCTTAATCTCCGAGAAAGAAAAAACACTGCAATTCGGGTTGAAAAATAAAGCATTTATTTTAGAAGTTAATTCAAGGGGTAAGGAGAGAAGGAAACAATATTTTATTTGTGTCTATTCGGACAACGAAACCAAAGGTCACACAGCAACACGCAAATTACATGAAGCAACGAAAGAAAACATGTGACGGGGCCAGAGGGACTGGGGTGAGAAAGATCCAGGCCGGGGTTTCGCCCCTCTTTCCGTTCAAAGCTATGAGTGAAGCTCGACCGAGAGGTTGGGGGATGGAAAGAAGTGGAGTTAAATAAATAACAGTAAATAACGGTGCTAACAATAATAATAAAAGCACAATGAGGTGAGACATGTTAGAAGGACTTGCATACGATTCGGAAAAGTTACAGTTACTTTCGTTCGAGCAGCTGCCTCTAACGCAGCTGCTCTGGTAGTCTGGCTGGAACAGAGAGCTGGGGTCAGAGAGTCCTCAGTCCGACTGCTACCAATCCCCTGCTTTCCTGCAGGCGGGCATTACCCCTCAAACTGCTGTCATTACCGAGCAGATCGTGGCGGACGGGCCACAGCAGGGGCCGGCTGCTGCTTGCAAACCAGCTACAGGATCCGCCCCCCACCCCACCCCAGCATTTTCAGTCGCTGAATTGGGCCCACCTTTTCTGGAGCCCACCTTATGGTGGAGAACAACTCAGAGCCCGCTACTCCCCGAACATTTTCCCTGAACCTAATCTATGCTACCTTAGAGAACTTACAACAAACCAAAGGATGAAATGGATAAAATTTAGGTGACGAACGGAGTATAAGGCTAGCCTTTGGAAACATATATGTATTTTATACTCTAAATAAATCTCCAGTACATGTTTGTGCCCCACTTAGACTCTGTGTTATTCCTTATCGCTTCCTTCCCATCCCTTCACCCCTTGTCTAGTCGCGCTTAGTAAAGTGGTGTCTTCACCCCAGAGTCGTGCGTTCGGGCCAATTGGCCATCCCCTGCATTTGGGCTCCCGCCGTGAGGTCGCGCGGTCGCGTGCGCGAGGGCGATTTTCAGCACCACGGACAGCACAAGCCCCTCCAGGCCTGCCTTTCAGGAATTTTTTTCTTAGCGCCCAAACTTTTCTGGTGGGAATAGAAAGAAAAGAATGGAAAGAGAAGGCCGGGAGGCAACGAGGTGGGATAAAGGGGAAAGTCTGTGACTTCGGGGGAGAGAGCCTGACCTACCAGGAAACGTCTCGGAGACCCCATAACCGTGCCCCCCAACTCCAGGGGGACATACACTCAGCTCCCCCGGCCCCGGACGCTCCGCCCCGCAGCAGTCAGTGGACAGCCGAGTACTTCATTCGTTTCTGTTTCTGTCTTTGGTTACAGAACCAGACCCTCACCACGTTCTTTTTAAGGTCCAGTTTCTCGGCGATGGCCGCGATCTTTTCGGATGAGGGCCGCGGCTGGATAGCGAAGTAGGCCTCCAGCGAGCGCTTCTCCGGTGCCGCGATAGACGTGCGTTTGCGCTTCCTCTCACTGCCGTTGAAGAGCTCCGGCTTGCTGTTTTTCTCCCGGTAGGCGGCCTCGGCTTCCTCCAGCCAGGCCTGGAGCACCGGCTTGAGGGCGATCATGTTGTTGTGCGAAAGAGTGAGAGACTCAAACCTGCAGATGGTGCTCTGGCTGAGCGAGCCGACGCCGGGGATCTTGAGGTTGGCTAGAGCCGCACCCACGTCCGCCTGGGTCACCCCCAGCTTGATGCGCCGCTGCTTGAAGCGCTCCGCGAAGGCCTCGAGCTCTCGCGGGTCCGACTCCACGTCGCTGAGGCATGCGGGCATGGTGCTATGAGGCGCCACGGCATGTGGGTGGCTCATGCCCATGGCCTGATGCAGGTGGCCCATGGCACCCAGGTGATGCGGGTGGATCTGTGCCGGCATCACCGAGTGCTCGGGGGCTCCCAAGCCGCTGACGCTCAGCGTGGGCGAGATGTGCTCTAGCAGGTCGCCCTCGAGGCCCTGGTGCACTGCGTGGTGCGGATGCGAGGTGAGGGTGGCCGGGTGGGAGATGGGCACGGTGGACGAAGTGGACGTGCAGGGCACGCTGCTCATGGTATGGTAGGTGGCGTCTGGCTTGAACGGATGGTTCTTGCCATGGGAGACGATATCCACCGCCGCCAGAGCTTCGGCGCGTGCCAGCAGGCTCTCATCAAAGCTTCCAAATATATTACCCTGCAGCTGCAAGCGAGAAGGCGCACAGCACGGTCAGTGGGGAATACTGTCAACTCAGGATTAAAACACATTTTCAAGCAACCGAGATGCCTCTCCTCAAAGCCCAGGTCATAAAAATTAATACGGAGACAGAGGCTCTGCTGAAACAGACGTGTGGATCAGAGACATGAATGAGAGAGAGAGCGCGCCGGGAGAGAGCACGGGGGAGACAAGGAGAGGGGTTCAGACAGCGGCGATTGTTCTGGGCGACATGAAAAAAACATGAACCAAGTGCCTGTCAAAAAATGTGCCTTAGAGCGGTAATTATGCTCCACTACGTACCTGCGGGGCTGGGAGACAGACTCGGCGCATGGCCTCAGAGCCGGAGTGGAGGCTGGAGAATTTGGGTTCTTGAAGCACCGGGTGCATGCCGAAAGGCTGCTTGGCGTTCATGGCCATCATCTTCGCACGCCGGGCAGGGAGGCAGCGAGGGACATGGATCAGGCTCTTCTCGCTCTCTCGCTCGCCGCACTCCAAGTGAGCGCCGCTCAGCGCCCGCGCTCCCCTCGCCCTCTCGCTCGCTGCCTCCCCTCTCCCCCACCTGCTCCTTCACTCATCTTACAAGCAGCCTGCCAGGAAGGGCCCGGGCGCGCGCGCAGGCGTGCTCACGTGCCCGAGACTCGCGGGGGCGGCCCGGGAGGCGAGGCCAGGCAGCAGCTCTCCGCGCGGGCCCCCGCCGCCGGGCCTCTCCCCGTCCGCCCCGCCCTGCCCGGCTTCAGCCCGCAGACCTTCCGGATTTTTTCTTCCTCTCGGACCTTCTTTCCCCCGAAGTCCCAAACTTCTCCATCCTGTCCCAACTCTCATAACCCAGAAAGAAGGGCAGCCGTGGGCCAGGAAGCTGACCCTCCCTCTCCGCCCCCGCCCCCCCATACACACACTTTGCCCAGCTGCCGCCAAACTGCCCATTTCCAGGGCGCTCCTGGTCCCACGCCGGTGCGGTCCACCAGAGTCCGGCCCAGACGCGCAGCGAAGGGGCGCCTCCAAGCGCCCAGACGGGCTCCGGGGAGGATGAGAAACTACCAGAATGAGCCCCAGGTGACCTCCAGCTCCCGGGGTGGAGGTGGGGAAAGTAACTATCTGCCCAGTGCAGGAGGTCTGAAGTTTCCTCCCTGCACTTGTCTTTCTTGCCTTCGCTTGAGAAAGACAATGTGCCCCCGCCTCCCCCATTCCCCAAGCTGCCAGTCTAAGGAATCTTGCAGGTTAGTTTTTAGGACTGCCCACCGGCCTTGGGAGTCGATCAGAGGACTTCTGCTGGGCCGCTGATGCTTACAAGCCCCATTACCCACAACAGCAGCGTTCATTTTAGAGCTCCTACTGTGTGTTAGGCAATTTAGAGTTAGCTCAGGGTGCCCTCAATACCCTATGGAATAGTTACTGTTATGCCATTTTATAGACGAAGAAAACGAGGGTCAGATGGGTTAAGCCCAAGACAACGTAACTGGTTGGGAGCAAAGGCATTCACTCACTCGTTCCGTTGTCGTTATCCGTTACACACGTATTTACTGGTGGCCTACTGTGTGCCAGGCGCCACGTCTGACTTCCCAGGCTCTTAACCACTCAGCTACTTTGTCTTCCCTCCCGAAGTTTGGGACTTGCGTGCCCCGAGGTTAGTGCTGCCCGGCCCTCGCCTCCCCTCTGCTCCCCTCTCCTTTCCCCGCGCTAGTAAACATCGTGAATAATGCATAGGGAATCCTGGGACCGCGGCCGCAACGCCCTCCGGCTTGGGAGAAAAGCCCTGCGCGCCCAGCTGAGCCCACCTTGTCGCCTCCACCGCGGAGCGGCCTTCGGGTTTCAGTGATCCTGGCAGCCTGTAAGCTAGGACCCCACGCCTGGGGCTGTGAGTCAGGATTCCACGAAGGTTAACGGGGGTGGGGCGGGGTGAAAGGGGCCACCCCCTGGTGTAAGAGGAAGCCCAGCCGGGTCTGGCCTCCCCACCCTCAGGTCTTCTCCGCATCGGAGTCAACCCCCTTGCCTGGGTCCTGTCCTCCAACCAGCGGAGAGGATTAACCCCGGTGCGGGAAGCCACGTGTGGCCCTTTCACTAACCCTTTCTGAGCCTCGGTTTCCTGAGCTCTAAAATGGGAATTGCATTGCTATGCCTTCTTGGGTTCTGGTGAAGATGCTGACAGCTGGAGTAGAAAGGAGAGCACTGAGTCAGCTTCCTCACAACCTGATGCCTGGGGCCTCAGGCTCTGCCCTGGGATCTTGCTTGCTAGAGGCCAGGAGCCAACTCAGTGTGTGTGTACTGCAGTTTCCTCATCTGTTAAATGGACATTGTAGTTTCACCTCCACTGATTGTTGTGAGGAATGCACTGAGATAAGCACTTGACACAGTGCCTGGCACACTGAAATCATGGACTAATGTTTGTTCCTCTCTTATTCCTCCTTCCTTTGGGAACAGGAGTGGCCTGGGTCCTCTCTCTAGAGAACGGTTTGTCTGCAGGTACAGACTGGCTCCTTGCTCTCCTCTGTTCACCTGCTTTGCACCAGACTCCGTGGTGAAGGTTAAGACACAGATGTGAATCAGACACCATCCCTACCCTCACAGAATCACCAGTCTAAAATCCACTGCAGGAAATTGACAGTTAACTTGCACTGCAGTGGAGGGGATGTAGATTCATGCACAAGACACAGAGCAAGGCTGGTGGGATTCTTGAAATACAGAATACACACCCAGGACCGTGAGCCTCAGGAGGCCTGGGCTTGGGACAGCATTCAAACGCTGTGTCAGTGTGATGCTGGCTGAGCCTCAATTTACCCATAAGAGAGGGCTGGACTAGATGATCGCTAAATGCTTCCAGCTGTAGCAAAAGACTACCATTCTGGTTAATTTAAATGAAATACATTTTGAGCAGGTCAGGAGCTTCTCTCCAGGAATCCTCAACTCTCCAGAAGCTAAATGCAGCATCATTGTATCACTCACCAGCATTTAGGACCGATCATTCTTGTTTTCTGTCCAATACTAGAAGCCAAAAGAGAAAATGGGGACAAAAGCTGGGTATACTGGATCCTCCAGGGAGAAGAATCTGTAACTCGCCTGGCTTCGCGGTGCCCTGAGACCCTAGTTGTCTGTGAAGCTGAACCCCCAGAAATGAAGGGAAAGGCCCGTCTACATCCATTCTTCCCCGCTTTGTCCCTTCAGGGGCCTGGGAGATACTAGCCAGGGTCGAGGTCAGACAGGGGTCAGAGACAGAGCAAAACCAACTAGCCCCCTTAGGCCTCCAGTGCAGACCTTTGGCTCACCAGCCCTCACTCCAGCATCCTGAGGCATTAGGATCACCAATCAAAAACCATGATTGCATCAGACAACCTGTGTTCCCTGGGTTTTTCCCACCCTTCCTTTCAAGAGGGTCTACTAGCAGCTCTAAGCAGCCAGTAGGAAGATGACTGCCGTCCTTAGGGACCACTCTTACTGAGAAGGCCCTGGAGACAACAGACTGCAGAAGGATGAAGGAAAAGACCATTCAGAAAGCAACTGGAAGGAGAGCCTCAGAATGCAGTTGATAACATCCTCCGTACTGTACGGGATTTGCAAACTTAAATTCTGTCAGGGGCAAGTCTGGTAAAATTAATTAGCTGGGTGTATACAAGGGAGGATTGGGACTGTGGTAAACTGGAGAGCACATGTCCCCACCCCATGCGGTTAAATTACAGTTAAAACACACACACACACACACACACACACACACACACACACACACACACACACACATCACGTATGGGCCAAACAAAATCTGTCTGAGGGTCCAAGGAAGGACCACATGGGCATTTATGCAAGTGACCCTAAATGGGGCATTTTCTTCATGCTACAACCATTTCCGAATACCTACTGACAGCTGGGCCTTGTATAGGTTCTGCAGGTATAGAGCGCACTGCTTCAGGGGCTCATAGTCTAGTGGGGACAATAGAATGGCTACATGTAACCCTAAGTCAGGACACAAAGCACCATGTTCTCCAGAAGGACTAGCCCTATAGGAATGCTAGGAAGAGCG